TATTTTCTTGAGCCCCTTGCTATTTTGTCTAAAATGTACCAAAAGAAAGATCTCAACTATAGAGAAGTGGAGCCACTCCTGACATCTACAGTACACACCTTGGAGACCCTGAATAAGAACAAAAATGTTACTTCCCTCTCTGCTTTTCTTTCAATTGCCCCCACTGAACCTTATCTGGATCCAAATGGTTCTTTGTACTTTTGAGTTTCAGTCACAACCAACTATCCGTGATTCTGTTGAACAGAGGCAGGTTGCTTCATCTGGGTCTGTGACCAGTTTGTTGATTCAATGGTAGCCATTTTGCGACAATGGGAGAATTCAGCTGTTTGATGAAAGCCCTTGGGAAAATCTTTTCAATACCCATCTTTCTTCTATTTGGCTCTGATATTGACACGTGTCAGATTATTTGGGCAAAAGTTGGTTTGAAGGAAGAAGGAATGAACTTCTGAGCTTTGTTCCATTACTCTAGGGCTTTAGGGTCTGATCCAGGCAACCAAAACAGTGACTGGATTCTACTTTCATGTGCCAATTTAGCAATCAACAACAAGTCTAGTTACCCTGCTGCTGCAGTGGCTGCCCAGAGATTCCTGATTCTGCCTGTGTCAACAGCTGACTGTGAGAGGGTCTTCTCCAAGCAAAACCTAATAAAAACTTCACTCAGAAACTGTCTGTCTCCCCCCTCCCTTGACAATGCCCCTGAAAATTTCTATAGACGGCCCTTCTCTGCCCACATTCCAAATACAAGAGAGCCTTCAGACTATGGTCCTACATCCAAGAGTTTAGAAGAATTATGAAATAAATTTCCAAACCCCTTCCTGAATCCCTTGCAAGCACATGTTACAGAATCAAGTCCCCCTTCACGATACAAGCACTATTTACATGTATTTTTAAAAATGTGAAAGTCTAAGTAGCATAATATGATATTGTTAAGCTTCAAATATATTTAGTATGAGATATGATATGTATGAGATATGATTTGCTAATTGTAATGTTATTAAAGTTTACCTTAAAAAATAAAAAAGTTGAATGATATTCCTTGTCTTTGTTGATATCACATGCCTTTTAAAGTGTTCATTTAATAGAAGAAATAAACCATTATCTGTAAAGTAAATATAGAGAAAGTAAAGTTCATATAGACTGTTAAAGAAATACAGCAGAGACATAGTAATTTTGATGTCAGCCCGTCACGCCTAAAATTGGCTCAAAGAAAAAAATAGCCAGTGCTAGCCCTGCTTTATGTTGATAACAATTTCGTTTATGAAATATATAAAACATGTAACAGACGAAATATAATAACGCTTAAAATCCTTGTCAAATCAATTGCACTTGGCTGACCTCTTAGCTAACAACTGGAATTCGGCAAAACCATATGCGGGATGTAAAGAGCAACACGTTCTCTATCTATGAAATGGATCACAAGACTTTTATGTAGCTAAATACCTGTGCCTATGCAATCTGTCGGCTTCAAGTACCAAATGATAAAAGTTCAATTCGACAGAATAATTTTTGTTACAAAAACAACAGGTTTTCAATGTTTTTTATGAAGTAAAAAGCATTTACTGGTGGCAAAATTTGTGACGCGGTTGCTGTTTTAAAACTGATATTGTCGGTTGATTATATTGTTGTTACTGTTGTTGTTTGTGTTGTTGTATTGATGTTGTTGTTTGTTGTTGTTGTTGTTGTTGTTGCAGCAGATGATGACAATGATGATGATGCGACTTCACTCCATCTTTGCATGCATTGAAGATTTTAAGATTAAGTACATTTGTTTGTACTTTAAAAAATAGATTTTTAATCGGGGAAATACAAATAAATACGAGTATGTGCCAGATTTCGGTGTTAAGACCTTTTCAAGTGGCTCAGTATGCACATAAACAAGTATACCTTTCTATTAAGCACAATTTTTCTTTAGCACTATATTATTATAAATATTGTTCTTAAGGATTATTTTTATAAAATTATGTAATGCATATTGTCTAAGTCGTAAAAGGGAACTTATGCGAGAATCGACCATTACTATAACTCGGGTTAACTCCCGTGACATTCCGTTCTTACAATAAGTTTACCACAGTCGTTTACAAATCAAGTTCCTTTTATAACATTAATTATTCTCTAAACTAAATGATTTATGTGTAATATTATTTGAAATTGTTTTACATAATTATTTTATGTTATCGTTTTACATATTTATCTTATTTGATGAATGGCTATAAAAAGAAAAGGAATTCCAACGTGGCCCAAAATATTCATTATTTAATTTACATAATGAAAGGAAGAAGACCTTAGGTGCACATACGTGCATTATTTCAGGCACGAGCGGATACCTAAATAAACCATCGACCTTCCGGAAGCTATCTGGTAAGCTTCCTCAATGAAAAATTCTAAGATCCATGACTTAATTCAAAGCCACGGCGGTGAAGCCACGGAAGCCCCATTTAAACTTAATACTTATTTCTCATTTAGCGGCGTACTCAATTACGTGGTGAAAACTATTTATGTTTTTCTTAATCCATTTACATTAGATTTTTTTGTCGATATGATACATATTTATACTTAATTAGTCAATTTTATGACGTACTTGCAAATTTGATTTTATTTGTTGACAAGAACACACCAATTTTTAAACAGTTTAATTTAGTACAAATTGAATATGAATAAAAAGAAAAGATCAGGGGTATAAGTGTCCTTTGTTATAATTGATAACATCAATGATAAGCTATAAATAAAACAAAATATTATATGGTACGACCATTGTTATCTTTAACCACTAGATACATCCATTTCTCAACAATAGAATGTACCTGGCCATCTTTGAAAAGAGCACTTTATTTTAAGTATTTTAGATTTTTATCAGTCATGTTTTGTATGAACTTGGATACTAAACAGAACGCTGACATCAAATACCAAAAATAAAATAAAAGAATGACAATGTGGCAGTATGGCCGAGTTGTTAAAACGCTGGACTTGTAAACTAAGGATCTCTAGCAATGCTGATTCAAACCCCGTCAGGATCAAGCTGTTGTTTCCTCAAGCAAGCAACTTTACATTCATTGCTCAGGACTGATTTGTTCTAGACACTGATTTGAAAGTGTGTCTATGACATTATAGGTTTCCAAACAATTGTACTTAATAAAATTGTGTGTATATTAAACTAAATGAACAAATGGTTGGTGCATTAAAACAAAATTTCAACATTCACATAGGCTTCTTTAGTATTAAAACATGACATATGTCAATAAATTATGGCCATCACATTATTGTTTTTACCTAGAGATATCTAAAGTGACCATTAGTTTATATTTCATAATTTGGTCCCCTTGTGGGCTTTACCGCTCCTGCGGAATGTCTACTGGACAACAATACAGAATAAATTAATGGCAAATGTCCTGGCAAGACTTATTGATGGTTTTTTAGGTACAACTTCAACTGCAATAGATTTCTGATTTGTATTTCGAATTTATAAAATAACTTTAAACTTAAAGTAATCTTTTTCAAAGCTTATTACCGGTATTGTATAAAGATTGGATTTTAGTGTTAATATTACATTTATTCAAAAATGCATTGTATTTGAAGATTTGATGATAGCTTGCTTACATTGATACCACAGGAAAGATTGTTAAGAAAATTATATATTCCATACACACTTATGTCATACCCAATACAGTCGACTCCACTTATAACGAACTCGCTTATAACGAATTATCGTTAAAAGCGAACTAAATCTGACTCCCCGGCCGAGTCCTTCTTTATTTTATATTAATCACATCGCTTTATACGTACTCGCTTATAGCGAATTTCGGCTATAACGAACCCATTTTTTCAAGGCCCCAAATGACGGAAAACATTAAAATTCCTCGGTTATAACAAACTGTTATATTGAAATATCGGATGCGCTCGATTAGGATCAGTACACGAACTTAACACTATCCGATAATTTGAACAATCGAATGATTGCACAGGAATGGCTTCAGGGAATAAAGATTTGAAAAAACTGTTCTCACAACATAATTTCCTACTTGTTACGGAAAATTTGTATTTCACACCCTCAGTTGATTGATGTAAATGCCCGATAATTGCCGAGTAAATCGATTTTTGTGTTTGCAATATTAACCAAACGATAATAAACAAATAGCAAAAGAAAACAAATGGTAAGAACTTCATAGACAATACATGAATAAATTTATGTACCATGTACATAATATATTGCTCAATAAAATGCCCTGCATTAAATAATCATTAAATAACCGCTGCAGTAAAATACCGGTTACACAGGTAACCAGTGAAGAGTATGGCTTTTTCACGGCAAATTTCCCCATCCAAACAAGTCAGAAAGTTGTTGCTACTTCGCTTTTAGCGAACTTCGGATATAACGAACGATATTTTAATGTCCCATTGAGTTCGTTATAACCGGAGTCGACTGTACCCTGATATATCATATCATCCATACGGATGGGTCGCACGGAACACTTTACATATTTTGTCAATATCATTCTCGAAATCGACCCATTTAAATTTATTCTCGAAATCGACCCATCGCATTTCGACTGTATAATTACGGTATACAAACTCAATCTCTAACACAGAAATCAGACAATCATACGATATCACGAATAAAGTTAAAAAGTCAGAACAAACAATAAGTTTTAATAATTTACGTCCCTGCTTTTCTTCCAGTTGACTTAATATGTCATTTAAAAACAAATAAAATTTACATATAATAGATAAACCATACAGAGTTTTGATTGACGTGGATGATAATCCCAAAGATTAATCATAAAAGAAAATCTTGAGTTCAATCATTGAGCATATAGATCTTGTGTTTCTTCTTTTTGTTTATAATTAGATGCTATCTTTTTATCATCATTTTGCACTGTATCGAATTACATTGTTACATACTTATCTTTAAGTCACAACTTTAAATCATGATTTTTAAAGACCGAAGCGTGATATATATTCAATATAATGATATTATAATCCTTTAGACATGTTTTTCAGTACATTATATATAGCAAATATAAGACATCATCCGAGATTGTTTTAGAAATTATAAGTGTATAAAAACATTACATATTTGGATTTTTAATTGTCAGATATCAAAAGTAAACAGACGTATAAGCAAGGTACGAAAAAGAAAATTTTGGACTATGTTAAGCAACAATAGTTTTAATTAGTATTTATTTCTGTTATAAGTAACGGACATAATCGCACAAATATTTGACAATTTTATTAATCAGTTTTTTTATTTAATCTTTACTGAAAATATCTGAATGTTAGATAAAACTACAGAAAAAGATGGAAAATTTAAAATAAGGCATTGGTCAATCGTAAATTTCACAGACAAACAGAAAGAAGTGTGAAAGTATCAGGTAAGCGATTTTCTTGGCTTTTAATCTTTAAAAAAAAATAGAAAAAAGATAAATTGTATACATATTTTTATGTAGATACAGCATAATTCTCAATTTCATATGAGTCTTAATTTAATCTAAAAGTTAATTTCACTGCATTTAAATTTATATTCCTTTTGCTTGATCTCAGCATGTATGTATAGCAAATATAAGACATCACCCGAGATTTTTCATTTTTATAACTTTTTGTATGGAAATTTGCAAAATGACATTTTCATTATTCTAATTCAAAAACATACAAAAAGCCAAATGTTCACATTCAATTTTTAAGTAAATGCACTTGCTTCAAAATATAAAACTTTAAAGTACATTCACTTTTTTCAAAGCATTCTTTTTTTCATATTTTTCAAAATTTGCCGACAGACTGACGGACAAAATGGAAGAAGCTATGCGAGTCACGGGAGAAACCCTGACAAAGAAGCAAGTCAGAGGTACTCTTAACCTAAACAGTTCTTGTAACCCATTCTATTTCGAAGATGTTAAACAACCAGTCTCAAAATGTTTTCATAATATTAAACGGAATTGTATTGAATACAGAATACGGAAAACATTTATTCCCATAGTATAAACCTACAATGTTATGTAAGTAGCATTTCAGCTGACATGTCTTTGCATTTATATGTATTTATATAGATAAATAATCACTTCCACAGAAAATATCAAAAGTACCAAAACAGCTAGTATATCCTATCATGAAACAACGTTTTAATTCTGCAAGTGCACCAAAAAGCATAACATTACTTAAGCGTATATACATGTAATAAGAAACATATTACTTATATCTTACTATGTATTTCATTTTCAAGTTCTCAAAGACACGTTCAGATTGATAGATTGTAATTCTGATGGACGGATATCAGAGTCAGAACTGAAGAGAGCCTGTAGCAAAATGGGAATATTCCTCACTAAAGATGAACTTGCAGAAATAATAGCTGAAGCCGACATCGACGGTAGGGTCAAACTTTGTGCATATTTAAACACATTTCATTGGGCAAAAATTGTTGACATTTACTTATAACAAGTATAGGTGAAATGAAATAGTGCAAGCTGTGTCTATACCGAATTGAAATTTCTTCTTCTTTTTCTTGTCATATCTTTTTCATTGCCTTATCATTAAGTCTCCGCAATCATAGCGACGGATGTTGCTCTCGAATTGAACTGAAACATAGTTGAATGTGAGCATGTTTTGAGTGCAAGTCAGCAAACAAAATGCAGTCCTTAACCTGCAGGAGCAGAAAGTGAATAGCCTTTGCCATCAGTATAACCTCCATGCAGCCTATACTTTTCACTAGCTTAATTACGGTTTTCAACTTTATATACCTAAACTTGATCATGGGCATTCCAAAAGTTGAATATGGATAAATTCAGATGGAAAATTCTGTAGGGTTAAGGTAAAATTGAACTCATGAATGCTTAAATGTGAACATAATATTTTATTGTAAATTACCAACATTTACATTGTGTGTCACCACGTTTTAGTTTTACGAAACTTTAGAAATACTGTATGTAATAAGTTTTGGCATGGTTTGTAACTCTATTCCAGGCAGTGGGTACATTGAATACAATGAGTTTGAGAGGTTGGTAGGACATCAGCTTATCATTGCGAATTACAAGAACAAACAACTGAAAGATGCATTTAGTAAATTTGATAAAGACGGGGACGGTTACATAACTGGTGTGTTATCATTGAATCTGTATAACAAATCGTGTAATTGAATTGAAACGAAATGTCATTGAACTGAAAAATGTCATACTTTTGAATAATGGTGTCAAATTTAAGTAATATTACAAACATTTATGCTAGTATAATTGAGAATTAAGCTTAGAGTGGATTCAAACAAATACGGGTGTTTCTTACTTAATATGCATGTAATTATTTATGATAACGTGTTAAAACTGCCATTGTTTGACAAATGATTTCTTTGCAAGATTTGTAAAAATGTATAAAAAAAAGTTCAAACTCACCATTTTAATGTCAATATGGGAATGTGGTCATGATTATGTAACAATAGTAATAAGTTTATATTTTTGTCCAAAAGCAACCGAAATAAAAGCTGCGTTTGGAGAATCAGGTGTATATTTAGATGATGAAGAAGTTGCCGAACTTGTTGCAGAAGCAGACGAGAACGGTGACGGTGTTATAAGTTTTGAAGGTTAGTCTTGAACGCTATAAATTTCTTGAAATTTCATAAAACAAATAAAGCTCTTATAGTTTCTCGTTCCGAAATAAAAAATACTTCAGTTGTTAGTTAAGTTACTATATAAGATGATACAAATGAGATAAAAAAATATATACCAACTGGTATTTGATATTTGTTGTTAAAGATTTTCAAAAACCTGGAATAATTTCTGTCCTTTTAGGGATGACTAAATGAGTCAAACTGAATTCATTTAAGTTTAGTATGCTCTTATGTATATCAATGATAAATACATAGTTTTTTTGCTTTGCGTATTGAAGCGATCTGTGTCAAATAAGGTTTTACAAAATGTACATGTATTTATACAATCGAATAAGTTAATGCAACAATCTAGTAATATCTTATTATTTGCATTTTCAGAATTTGTAAGTACTGTCTGTGAAAAAGATTGGTAACGGCATTAAAACATGTAAAACAAGATACATTTGGATGACTATTGTTTCAGCAGTTGGGTATACATACTGTCTCTTGGACTTATCCCTGAAAATTGTAGAAGAACTGCATTTGTTTTTACACCGGTCATCAGATAAAACTATTCGTTATGTGTTGAAATGCAATTAAAAGCAGATCCTAAATAACGTTACACGGTAAAGCATTAAAGGATCTGAACTTAAGTAAGATTTAATTGTGTATTAGAATGTTGGTATTTTCAATCATTCATTATGAAAAAATTATGAAAAAGTTGGTATTGTCATAATGTTCATATGTTTTGTTACATTTCCTAGTGACAATTGAATGCGTAACCATATAAAATATGTACAAATGGAAATGAGTAATTATAGATTTAGTTTTGTAACTACATGTATTAAAATATGCAAAGCAACATGTATATCTAGGTGTTTCAAATATGTTTGAACTCTTGCAATGTTTCGAGGAAAAATGTTGATTATCATTATAAATATACAAGCACATGAGTGGCAGAGTAAACCTTTTATATCTACATGGAAAAAGAATCTTTATAACAAATGAAGATTTTACATTATTTTATATTTATTAATGATTACAAATGACATGCAAATAAATTAACCGTAAATGATAAGTTTGCATGCTGCTTTAAACATTTGCCGTGCTTTACCCCCCCCCCTATTCGTCCTTTAATCTAAATACTACCCCCTCCCTCCCCCCATACACGCACGCTCGCACACACGCACCTGCCAATCCCCCACCCAAACATTTAAAGCTGACAGGTGTTTATAAAAATGTCCAATCTTGTTCCACTTATTACTCAAATATAGCATAAGCTAACAGGTTATTGTAGCTTATAAATTTGTTTGGACATGGCTAATCCTTTTAATCCAACAAATACCTTAATATGTTAACAGCCTATATAATCACATAAGGATTTGGAACATTTAATATATGAAGCGCGTTGTGACATGTTATGCCCTAAAGCAACCTTCTTAAGAATTGTCAGACTGTTGCATGAAACTACCCCGCTAGATTGCTTCAATTTGTTCATTTGGTACGTTATGATTCCAGAAAATGAAGACTTTTTTAACAGGTCTTCGCGCTATTTAAGATGTAATAAATGTTATCTTGCAGTTTTTGACACTCTATTAGCATACTTATTTCAATCTTGTTAGCAGTTCCATAAACTTTTACCACATTAAGTTAAGTTCTATTCATAGTATGATTATAACTGTCATCAATCGTTACTGTTACCATTATTGAATAAATACTTTCGAAATTCAGTTGGTCACTGGCATTGGTGTTATAACGATGAAAGTGTTATATACTCATAATATCATATGAGACGCTACCGCTTTAATTGATGTTAGATTAAACCCGGCAAAATGCAATGACCTGCAAATGAAGGATTTCGTCACATTAAAAGTACTCGTTTGTTAAGAAAACCATAAAGTGTTAAGTGCTAAGTATAAATGAGATAAACGGCGTTCTTTTGAACGGATGAAAGTTAGAGCTGTCGTTTAACAAACAGAAATAACAGTTTTTAAATAAAGGTATATTTAATAATTAACACAAAACACAATTTGCCATGGCTTCCTCGACGGGAAAAATGAAAAGCAAACCTGTTGAAAGTAAAACAGGCCGAAGAGGTACTGATGGTCAAATACAGGTTTCCGGACAAATGAAAGCTAAAACAGGCATTGAAAGACGTCAAAGCACAAACAATGTTGGAAATACTAGATCATGGCTACAAGAGGAAATGGGAAATCGTAAAGAAGTGCAAACTGTTGAACAGAAAAGACAATCTGTGCAGATGGAGAAAAAGATTCAGAAAAAATTGTCAAAGGAAGTGTCAAGATTTAATATTAAAGGACAAAATGTAAAAGAACAGCGGTAAGTAAAGTCTCCCCCTTTTTTCATTTTTATTGTCACACCAGCGTTGTTATTAGTACCTTGTGGATGATGTTCAAAATCGTTGCGTACATTCAATCAGCATGACATTTTTATGGGATTTTTTGTATTTCGTAGTTCCTTCGGGCTGTTTATTATTTTTTGTTGTATTATTCCAATTTTCCTATAAAAAATACTGTAAAACCATCCTCCAGATTTGTTGAGTTCTGTCATTTGGTGGCTGTTTGTGCGACGCAAACTTCTGAACATCTAACCTTTCAAAACTCCATTTTTATTTAGTTCTGACCATTGTTTTCTCGTTTGTGGCATCTTTAACCTGTGGATGATACACCGATTTACATGGATAGCACAACGAGTCACATTCATCGCCGTATGATCACATCTATGATTGTTTTTAAGTTCACATTTTCACCACTTTCATATTTAATTGTTGAATTCTGATTAAACGGTGCAAGGGGCGTGAACGATAGCTTGCAGTCTCCAGTTCCGCATAAGAAAAGCCTTAATCAAGCAAAGCCTGCATCATTTTCAGTTTTGCAATTTTGGGCGTTATTTAAGGTTTCTTTTTTATTTAATGAATATTAATTAGGATATGGACTACCGTATTGAGCATATGATGCAAATATTTTGACACTTTTATGTGGCTCTAAATACTGCAGAAACTTTATAGCAAAATATATGAACGTATCATTCAAGTATTTCCATAACTGTCGTATCATTTCTAACTTGAATATGTACATGCACTTCATTAGAATATAATTGATTTGAAAGAATTTCCAAATAACCAGGATTGACCCGTCTGTTACAGACTTTAACTAATAAAACTTATGCTATATAAGATATATTTTGTCTATATTCTACATTATTTGTACTCTATAGAACACATATCTTAATTAGTAGAAATTTAACAGAATATTTATCTATGTTTTTCTTCTAGGAATTTAGATGCATACATAGCGAAATACCCTAACCTTCGGGAGGATCAAGTAAAATGTAAGTATACAAGATACATTTTTGGATAAACACTCGCTGGCACACATGTTAGATTATGGCGATTTTTCCAGCTTAACCGTTAGTAGATTAAAAAAATACCTACCTTATATAATATAACATAATATTGGATAATGACAAATTGGTCTTTTTTCAGATTGCAATAACATCTATTTTTATAAAGTTAGAATTTGGCAGCAAATAAGCATGATACAAGTAGCTTTTAACGGAAGACACAGGCACAATTTTTATTTCTTCGTTTTGAAATTTTCATTCATTATTCTGTAAATGTCCTCTAAATTAATATACTAGACAGTCACAGGAACAAGTCTTTTCTCATTATAAAGTATTAAAGGATGGTTTTCTAACCTGACTCACGTGGGTCAGGTTAGAGCGTTGAGATTTCGCAATAATTGTTACAGTTAACTTTGGAAACGTTAAAGAACATGTCAAATGAATGACTTAGACTTGTTTCAATCATACATTAAACACAGTATCTGTTATTGTAATTTCCAGGGTTTGTTCAAGTCACAAAACTTGTTTTAAAACTACATGGTGATTCTGTCGGCTTCTAAAATTTCGTTCAACATAATATAAAAATATTTACGCTTCAAACCCAAAATATGTACAATTTAATACAGTCATTCATGCTGGGATTTTAAAAATGCCTTTTTAGCGTGATTTAAGGTCATAAGAACATTTTAAAATTTTGTCATTCATTTGCCTGAGTATCCCTTTAATTATATATGTCAAATACTTTAAAAAGGTAAAGGTTATTTGTAATAATCAGCTTCTACAACATTGCAGGCCGATCCTATTATCATGTCCTCGCACATGCATACTTGACTGATCATAAGCATCATCATTATAAGTAATAAGACTATCAATAATGATATTCAATTATTCATTAATTCCACCATTCATACTGTTTATGGTCTTATCTTTTACATATTTCGGCAGCAATTTTTCAATCATTTTCGTCACTGGATGACAATGGTGATGGAAAGATTTCAAGACAAGAAATTGCAAAGGCTTACAAGCTGTCAGGATTTGATCCGGACGAAGACGAACTTAAAGAAATTATGATGGAACATGACGAAAACGGTAACACATTTGTAAAACCTGATAGTTATCAATTTGAAATGAGCATCCGTAGTCTTGGTTTCAAATTAAATATTTATTGGGAGTAGGTTAACAATTCGTTCTCGTTATGATGTTTTCTGGCTTAAATATACTTTCTATGGAGTTGGAAACTAGACCAATTTAATCATAACAGATATTGAAACTGAATCAGTCATATAAGGTCGTAACTACTAGTTACGTCTTTATAATACTAGAGCATCGATGTGTATGTTAGTTAACCGATAAATTAACATTATACTATTGAATACCTTAAATTAGATTCACAAAGTTTGACCTCTTTTCTTCTACTGTCTCAGACTGAAAATAACATTGAAAGCATTGCCTGTATTGCCAATTCTTACTACAGTTAAAGAGGGAACATTTTCCCGTCTTTGCCATTATTTTGTGTTTAAAAGCAAATGCAAACACATCCACACTATTTTCTTGTGAAGCAGATAGAGAATTCGAGTGCATTGTAAAAAAACATTTTTTATCGTTTTTATACCTTTCTACAACATCGCACTCTTAACTAGTATCTCTTTCCTAAATATAGTTTGAACATTGCAAATTGTACAGAGAAAAAAGAAAACATTGACACTTCATGTGTGTTTTTCTTTTTATTTTACTATTTTTTATGTAGATGACGGTTACATAGATTTCGATGAGTATTTTCATGTGATGCAAACGAAGATGACAGAGGAAAACATAGAAACAGAGAAGTTAATGGAATCATTCAAACTGCTGGACGTAGATAATGATGGCCATATTACACGGGAAGAATTCGCACAAGCACTGTCGGTTACTGGAAGCAAACTAACTAAAAAGCAAATTGACGATCTTGTTGACAGGGCGGACTCAAACAAAGATGGCAAAATTGACTTCAATGGTAGGATTTTTTGAATTTGTAATTGTAAATGCACTGATCAAATTGTAAGATCATGACGATCAATAAGAACTGTAATAACAAATACAGCGATTGGCTTAAGTATAAGGCAATTAAAAAAGTAAATTATTTTTATAAAGAAAAGATTCATTAATAACTAAAAACCTGTAATTATTTTTTTTCCAGAATTTGCGGAGTCTGAGATGTGCAGGGGCTTATTTTGGGAAAGGGGAAAACTGAAAACGGGTCAATGTAAAAATTTACTTATATGAAAGACTGGGACGCATAAATGTTTTTTTACATAAAAAAAAATTGTTTGTTTTTAAAAATTTTCCAAATCCTTTTAAGATAATATTTTTTTTGGAAAATTATTCCGCTAAAAAAAATTTATTTCAACTCCCGAATTCGCTATGATATAGGCAAAATATAAAACTAAGCAGATCTGAACTTGCTTTCCTGCCAAATGGTTATCAGTCAATTTTATAAATCTTATAACAGTACTCACCGTAATTTGAAAGATGTATTCGTTTTTGTCCAACACAAATATTTGTTTGCAAGAAATCACCAGCTTTTTGTGGTATGTTTGTCATTTCTAAAACTATTTTCCTTTTCATAAAGTCAAACAAATGTGTGTGTTTGGGTAATTGTGTTTTGTTCAGTTTACACATTACTTCTGCATTGTTCTGAGTAATTGTGGATCTTGTAACGTTATACTCCTGCATTGTTCTAAGTAAATGTGGATAATGTAACGTTCTATCCAGCCATCACAATTGTTCTCATTTATTGTTCTTTTTTCTAACTATGGAATTATTTTTGTAAGCAAATCAGTTCCACGACAAAGACCAATTATCACAGATGTAAGCATAAGTATATCTCTGTTCTCAGTGTAGTCAGAAATGAAAGTAAAAAAAAATAAAATCGAACACAAATACATGTTTTATTATATTTTTATTATTTTGTGCATTTTAAGTCATCTTAAAACGCGCATTAATAAGGGAAGTGACGGTACGTTGTCTCTAGATAAGATCCAAACAAGAAAATGCTGTAACAGGTACTTAAAACTAAACTGATATTTGTAAAATGTTTATTCTTGATATTTTTCTCGGTTCTTTGATGGTTCTTGTCGGTAAATAAAGAGACACGAATTTGGAACATGCACTTTATTTTATGGGAGTTGAAAATGTCTGAATACTTGGTGAATCTGATTAATTCTTAAACCTCGAGAACTGTACCCTATGCTTTTAAAGCAAAATATCCTATCAAACTTTCTCGCACCGGTTACGCTACGCTTTGCTATGTTTGTGAACTGATCAAGGGAAGTAACTCCTGTAGGTGTAACATTCATCCGCATAGCAAATTGTCGGACAAATGAATGTGTAGAACAAAATATTTTCCATGAAAGGCTTATTGAATTAGCTTATGTGGATGAATGCTTAATTGATAACTTATTAGTTTTAGGGTGTGATTTGCCAAAAATATTATTAAAATAGAGAAAATCGGAATCGCTAAAGAACGCCAAAGGCTCTGTTTGATTAAGGCTGTTCATGGACGGTAGTGATAAGCGCACGTTGCCGTATATACCCTCTATATATAATGCTTTCCAAAATCAACATTTTTTAACTGCAATTGAGGCCTATACGAAAGCATGTGCTGTCGTTCATCGCGAATGTAACGATGAGAAGCGAGCATGTGGTTATTACTACAAAGTAAGAAGATTTTGCTTCTAAAAGGGATGCAGTGGCGTAGTTGTTAATATGTCTACCTCTCAACCCACATAGCATAAGTCAGAGTCCTACGTGGGTCACGACCATGTTTCCTCATATGTGCCAGTTGTATTTAGATTCGAGAGTGGTTTAAAAAAGCTTCAAGCTTTCATAAAAATTAAAGCTATTGATAAATCGCAATTAATTCTGGGAATTATTTAAAGTAAATGACTTGAAAGGATTTATAAGACAATAAGTATAAATGCAATATATGAATGTTATAAGAAATGCAATTTTCATATCCATCCAACTTTCCAGTGTTTCCGTTTATCAAATTTAATAAATTAAATAAAAACACAAGTGCTCTGTGTCTAACGTCTTATATAATTACTAATAACTCGTATATAAACTAAGCCATTTCAATATGAAAAAAAAATGAATACACGTATGAAAGTATGGATGATGATGAAAATAAAGTTAAAATTTTCTCCCGGTATTTTAGGTTTTAGTTACAGTCATGTTAACTTATGTTAGTTTATATACTTATAGTGTCATGAAACATTCAAAACTAAAATTCGAAAAATACGAAAACAATAAAAAATTATAAGCATTATGCTGATATATGTGTGCATGTCTGAAAAAAAAATCATTATCTCATTATCAGTATATGCTTTTACTATTTTACACGTATACCATAATATTACTGTCAAAATTCAAACAATGTCATGAAATTAAATGTTTAAGTATATTTATTTAGTTTTTTACGCATATTTTGCACTATGCGCAAATATGTCTGACATTTTAACTTAAGATTTTTATTTTTTTTATTTGCATATTATTGAAAAGTTTTGTTTTCATCTATTATTTCAAAAATACATGGATGAAATGTGTGCTTTGAGGAAACTATGAAACTTACAATGGTAAAGAAAATATAAGGAATACATAATCTTCTATCTGTAAGAAGAGGAACTCTTTCTTTTTTTTTAATCAAAGAAAAAATGAAAAGAACGAAACACTTACTTCATAAGGAAAGTACTTCATAAGGAAAGTAATCTAAATTCATCCAAAAAGTAAATTTTACGTGTAGATCTTATTTATATAACTTTAAACTTTTAAGGTTTGTTTTGAAATATATTTAGTAAGTATAGTTCAAAGATCGCAATATCTCTTTACTCATCCCTAAAATTCGAAGTTTGCATTTTTTACTTTTGCCTTTTCAAGTGATATGCCGGATTCGTTGGCTAAATTAATGTTATTTATTTACAATTTGCTATGCGCATTTATTCTAACTACCCTATTAATGAAACACATCATTGTTGAAATTATGAGTTTTATATAATTACTTATTTACTGCCGAAAGAACATACTCAGGTAATGTTAAAAACTAAAATATGACAAATATTTATGCTTATACTCTAGTATAAATGTTTTTCTCATGCAATAAGATTGGTATAGTTTGTTTTATTATTGAATAAAAAAAATATAACATATGACTGTTCTGTCGTTTTAAAAAGGTTACTAGCTTTCTTTATTATATTCCACAATAGTTAGATATTATGATTTCCTGTATTGCTTTAATTAACGGTTAGATGTTAAGTTGCTCCAACACTATTAAGGTCATATGGCGATGAAATCTGTAATGTGATATTAATGCGATCATCAAAGCCCATGTATGCAATTATATGAACACCAACTTTCTGTTCCAGTTTAGGTCCGACCTTTAATATTCAACCTGCTTCATTTGTGTTATGAATTTGTCCTGTTTTAAATTTTGAGTAGTCTTTTATAAGTTTAAGAAATTCCATTATCGATTGAGCTGCCAGCAGTATAGAGCTTGGTTGGTCAGGCTACATTGATGTGCCTGCTGGCTTGGCTCTATACTGGTGGCAAAGGCTAATCACTTTCGGTCTCTTTAAGTTCAGGGTTAATCGGGCTTATAGGTTTGCGAAAACATTGCGTACTCGGTTAATATAATCCAAAAACGACCTTAATCCTATAACGACCCACTACACCGGTGCTTAAGTATTGAATCAATCACTTGAAAAATGAAGAAGTAATTAGTGTTTTAATCCGTTTGTTAAAGCTGTAGTTTCAACAAGTGAAAATTTTGATTTTTTTTTCAATTGTTTTTCTTACTCATATCGTATGCTTGCTTTCAGAATGGAACTAAAATATAAAATCACCCTTTTACCACAATAACTGTGGCATTTGGGAGTTATTCAAAATCAAATACGACTCAAATTCTTAGGACCCTTTTCACTTTTGCAAGCTAAACCTTCGTTGCTATCTTAACCTGACTATCATTAATATGTTTTGTTAATTTCATGTTTAAAACAAGGAAAAAATTTATTCACAATCACTTTTTGGAAATTAAAGAAAAACAAAATATTATACAACGACTCTTATATTAGATAGGATAAATATTATTGATAATAATAAAGTATGCTTGAAATGAAACTTAAACGAAATGCCCAGGCGTACAGGCGAAAGTCAAATTAACTTTACATTTTGTTATAATTGTTTTCAGTATATTATTATATTCTGCCTTTACAAACCAATCTATATCTCACGTGACACACCCGGGCATGTCTTTAAGTATCCTTTGTTATGTAATTGGTAACGAAGAATTGATAAAAGAGTGGGACAAACTATCTGTACTTTAGGCAGTTTGTATATTTTCTTTATCCTTGTTCTTTTTCATTATCAATTTTTCTGCATTAGAATTCTATATTTTGAAATATATTGCTAATGCAAATCAAACTAACAATGAAAATAATGAGCATACTGTCAGATATAGTGCAACTAGATTAGCTTATTTCTATGAATTGTTTGGTCATACTGTTTCGTTTTTATATATTATTATGCATCCATACTCCAGCATCTCAATCAGAAAAAAAATATTTCCTTTTATTCATAATTCTAAGTGTTGTTAGTTAGTGATACCTCAGACAATTTTAAGTATTTTCTTATTTTCTCACGTTAATTTGTTTTGTTTATCTTAAAGACCAAGCTGACATAATTATTCTTTTAAATCTGGTTATTATCTTTCCATTCTGTTCCATGAATACTTTATTAAGTAGAACAAAGGAGAGAAAATCTAATATTTTATAACGAAAACACAAATTATTATAGATTGACGAAACTTGATAAGTCTATACATATATGGTGCCGCTTTAAAAAGCGTATTAGAGGACGCCGAGATTCTATCCTAGATGTTACACTGATATGCGCTAAAATATAAACGCTGTTAAACTATAAGAAGAATTGCGTAAAGAAAAAAATAATAAGCTAACATTTTGATATACAAAAGGATT